TTTCAAGGCCTGTCTGATAGCATTCTCGTGCCGCTGAAATTCGACGCTGACGCTGGTTTCGGTAGCGGCGGCTTGCTGCTTCGATATCGTCTCGAACTGTTTCGCCAAATTTAAAATCTCGCTCATAAATCGCCCCTTTTAAACGGATATTTCGCCCCCCTGACGGATCAGCAATACTGAGGCTGTTTTTTGTTTCCCTGACCACCTGAAAACCAAACTGCTCAAGGTGAGACACCACATCCTTTCGTTCCCTGATTTGACCAACACGCATCAGCTCCGTCAGTCCCTTGGTGATACTTTCCGCAGCCAGCTGTTTGTCGCGGGGTAAATCACTGGCCGGCGTTAACGGACGCCGATAAATCGGGTCATTCGGGTCGCGCAATCCTAAACGCTCATTCGTTAACGTCTGCCACGCATTCACTCTCGGGCGATCTGCGCGGTCAAAATAGGGCTGAAGCCGTTTTCCGCTCTGTAACTCCACATTCGGGATCACAAAATTCAGCTCTAAACGACCTTTATCCTGATGCTGAACCCAAAGACAGCTGTACTGATCTTTATCAAGACCGGTCATCAATGTATTTTCCCATTCATCCATCAGTCGGGTTTTCTCATCGGCAGGTAAATCCCGCTCCTGAAAAGAAAGTACACCGGAGGTGTACGTTCGGGTGTATTCACTGGTATCAATCAGCTCTTTAACCCGCTCAGGGTCGCCTCGTAGAACCTCCGCCTGTTCACGGTTTCGATCTTTACCCAGAAGATAATCAACGGGGCCACTACCGGAACCCGCACCGCGGGAATGAATTTTAACAATCATCGCACCGATGCTCCGCTAATAAGACACTCAATTGATGGTCCATGCTGGTGAGAACCGCCAGTAACTGAACCCGTTCAGACGGTGAAAATAACGGAGACTGATGCAAAAGCCGCGCAATTTGGTTGAGATTATTCCCCATGCCGGAAATTTGACGAAGCAGTGCCGGATCAACCGTAGGTAATTTTCGCTGACGAGGGCGACGTTCACCCAGTCCCAATGCCCGTAACCATGATGCCAGCTGAGATTGCTCACACCGTTCAAGCAATAGCTCATGCTCACGCTCAGTCAGTCTGATCTTGATTTCTTTCGTTCG